AGAAGGTGAGGCGTTTGCGGTATGGCAGCGTACAAAAAGTTCACTGTATACCGAGTATTCATCTATCTTTAGTGTAAAATAAACTCTATTGAAATCAAACGAGTAGTATGTTTGTTTGTAGTGCTGTTTAGTGTTTGTCGTCATTTATGTTGGGTGGCTGTTGGGCTTTAACAGATGATTAGTGTCTGGTGTGGTGCAAATCATTGTGTTGAAAAATGAAACGTGCCTTCGTTTAGTCAGGTAAACAATTCTGAAGCATCTCCGACAGCTGCAAACGGCCACTTCTGCCTCGAAGAAAAATGGCCATACACAGCTTTTTGGCATAGGGGAGAAGACATTCAATTTTAGTGAATTCATTTCACGTTAAACTGTGGCATTTGGATTTTATTCGCCTCACATGCAAACTTTTTGCTTGCTAGCCTTCTAATTTGTATGGAAAACTGCCTATCCGTTGACAATAAAGCGGCGTTCAACGTCGTCAACTTCGAGGCTTTTTAAATAGCTTTAGAGAATATTTGATGCTCTCCTTACTACCCGATTCTAAAGCTTGTGCCAAGTGACATTTTTTAATGCATTGAAGTTTTGACATATAACTGAAATTTGAAACCATGTGAACGAAAGTTTTTCATGTCATTAAAGATGAAATTATGTCAAATTTTAAGGGATACTTTGGCTTTATCAAAGCTTCAATAAAAGAAGTGAAAAATTTAATCTGTGCGTGAGCATCAACCACACATCAGGGTGGCAAACAAGTAGATAAAAATATCACTGTATGTACATTTCGGAAGCAGCAATTTGCTGGCGTACGGGAGGCAGTGGAAAACACCCAAGCAGTCCTTACGTCCACGCCCATCAACATTCGTTTTGGATTAGTCTTGCCAGGTGAGTTAGGATGCGTCCGATGCCAGACAAGCCAAACTCACTACGGTCCGGATACAGGGCGTTTTGTTGAGCATTACAGATGCACGGCGTTCACAAAAAACGACTCTTATTCCCCTACTTTTAGAATACACAAGAGCAAAATGACTGCAATCAAGCCACGAATCTTGCCACTTCCAAGTTTATATTTCGCCAAACGCGTTTTAGGTTACAAAAAAAAATATGCGAGGCAAATTTACCCGATACAGACCACCATAACAAGGAAGCGGGCGAGGGTACGTTTTGCACAGCTCACCAGGGCTGCAAATATGAGGACACTGAACACGGCAACCCCGGTCCTATTGAGTGTCTCATAGACGGCATAAAGAGTGATCTGTTCACATATGCCGATGCATATCATTAGAGTGATGTAGTACTGAATGCGTAGGAGGTCCTTCCAGTAGCAAAACGTGAAGGCAAGCCAGACAAATCCCAGTAGGACGTACGCCAGAGAGAGAAGGCCATAAAACTGGAAAAGAAGAGCTTGTAAGAAAAGAAATACACCCTAAAAGTCGGCGGAACAGGACGTTGAGACTTTGGTTTAGTTAGACAAAGGGATAATTAGTGCTCGCCTGTCCAGAACAGGATACTTTGAGTCTATTGATTTTGCCGAAAACAAACCGAGTTGTGAGTTGCAGAAGCAGAGCCTAACAGACTGATAACGTCCTGTAAGTTCTTACCAATACAGTGCTGCTAACGCAACCGTCAGGCGGTCGCCAACAGTAACTTATGTAGCCCCACTCATTAATCCCGACGAAAACGGTGTTCATCGGGTTTTATGGGCGGGAAATTAGGACACGCAGTGGAATATACTTGAATAAATGCTAAATGCATTTTTATTCTACTGTATCTAGAAGTGTTTTTTGATAAATGCTAAATGCATTTTTATTTTACTGTATTTAGAAGTGTTGTTGATGATATCTGTAGATTTTCCTAATCTGTATTATCATTTAACTTATTGCAGAAAAATTATCTGTAGATTTTCCTAATCTGTATTATCATTTAACTTATTGCGGAAAAACGCGATTATCAAACTGCAGTTTCTTCAATTTCCCTAGAAATTGAAATGGTGGTTAGGAGGTCGTCTACCTCAACTTACCTGAGATCCAACTTACCGTTCTTGAGTTAGATTATTCTAGTCCGCGGCGCAAAGCGCCGCGCACACCATCAATTTACATGTGGAACAACCTGCTCACAGCGGCCGC